ACAGGACTCCTACAGAGAGCAGCCAGGTATCAGGGAGGATGGGAGGAAGGAGGAGGCTGGGAACTCCAAGGAAAGGAAGTGGTGGGAATGAGTTGTGGTGCATGTACAGCAATAATAGGAGCATGGGTAATAAGCAGGAAGAACTTGAAGATCTCCTGGGAATAGGAGGGTATGACCTGGTGGGAATCAGAGAAACTTGGTGGGATGAAAGGCAAGACTGGAATGTGAACATAGAGGGGTATCACCTTTTCAGAAAGGATAGGAAGGGAAAGAGGGCTGGAGGCATGGCTTTATACGTCAGGGAAGGGATAGGATGCAGTGAGATAGAATGCAGCACAGATGGGGATTCGGTTGAGGCAGTCAGGGGGGAACTTAGGGGTTTTGTCAGGGAAAGAGACCTGACAGTGGGGGTATGTTATTGCCCTCCAGATCAACTTGAGACCCTGGATGATGGTCTGACAGACCGGATTCTAAGGATATCTCCGGGGAGAGACCCAGTAATTATAGGAGATTTCAATCTCCTGGATATTAGTTAGGAGACACACTTGGTGGTGACAGCCAGGTCACGTCGCTTCCTAGAGGCTATAGAGGTTTTTCACACAGAGGGTGCAAGAGGCAACGAGGGGGGAAACATCCTTGACTTGGTCTAGACCAACAGAGAGGAGTTGATAGATGAAGTACAGATTAGGGGAGCTATTGATGCAAGCGATCACTCCATCCTTTGCTTTGAGATCAGGGGACTGGGGATGTGCAGCAGGTTGAACACTAGAAGCTGGGACTTCAAGAGGGTCAACTGAAGGTGAGACTGGGGAAAGTCTCCTGGGATAGGTTGCTGGAAGGTAAGCGAGTTGAGGAGGGGTGGATGGCACTCAAAAGGGAGGTTTTCGAGGTGCAAGCCTTGATGATATCTCTAGTTAGTAAGGTGGGGAAACAGAGGAGAGTGTCGCCATGGATGCGAAAGGAGTTGGTTGGAGGGATTAGATGAAAGAGGAAACTCCATAGGAAATGGTTACTGGGACAAATATACAAAATGGTATACCGGGGGGAGGAGGCCAGTTGCAGACGGATTCTTCGCAAGGCTAAGGTTGATTACGAGCTGAGACTTGCCAATAATATCAAGAGCAACAAAAATGGCTTCTTTCAGCATGTAACTAGGAAGAGGAAGGGGAGACAAGTGGTGGGACCACTAAATCAGGAGGAAGGAGATCCAGTGACAGATATGAGGGAACAGGCACAGATGCTAAATGACTATTTTGCCTCTGTGTTCTCCCCAAAGCAGGATGGGGGATGTCCGCATAGGAGTTTAGATGAGGCTGGGGACTTAGGGGCACAGATCAGAGTCACCCCCCTTGAAGTCGAGGGGGTCCTCAGGGCATTGGACATTACAAAGGCGCCAGGCCCTGACAGGTTACACCCAAGAGTACTTAGAGAGTTGGCAGGGTTTCTCTCACGCCCACTGGCCTCCATTTTTGAGGCCTCGTGGAGAACAGGTGAAGTTCCAGAGGACTGGAGAGTGGCATCAATGGTCCCAATTTTCAAAAAGGGTAGTAGAAGGGACATGGGGAATTATAGACCTGTTAGCCTTACATCCATTGTGGGAAAAAACAATGGAACGGCTCATAATAGAGAGAGATCTGGTGATGCTAGATAGGGAAGAGAGGCTGACAGCCACACAACACAGGTTCTGCAAAAACAGGTCCTGCCAGACAAACCTTGCGGAATTCTCCCACAAGGTTTCGAGATGTCTAGATGGAGGAGATGCAGTGGATGTGGTTTACCTGGATTTCAGCAAGGCTTTTGACAAAGTGCCCCATGATATCCTGGTGGAGAAACTGAGGAGTTTTGGGATACACCAAAGCACTGTCCAATGGATTAGGGCATGGTTGACTGACCAAAAGCAGAAGGTAACCATTAGCGGGGAATCATCGGGATGGCGGCCAGTGACAAGCGGGGTTCCCCAAGGCTCTGTCCTGGGGTTGATCCTGTTTAATCTTTTCATAAATGACACGGAAGAAGAGGTGAACAGTCTGCTGATCAAATTCACAGACGACACTAAAACTGGAGCAGTGGCCACAACTGAGGAGCAGGTACTCCAGATCCAAAAGGATCTGGACAGACTATGGAAGTGGGCAGGAGACAACAGGATGGCGTTCAATGTGGATAAGTGCAAGGTCTTGCACTTGGGCCATAGGAATGGGTGTCATAGGTACAGGTCAGAGGACAAGTGGCTGGACAGCAGCGCTTGTGAAAGGGACCTCGGAGTGCTGGTTGACTGCAGGCTAAACATGAGTCAGCAGTGTGATGTGGTGGTCAACGAGGGCAAATGCCACCCTTGGTTGCATACCCAGAAGTGTGGCTTCTAGATCAAGAGAGGTATTACTACCACTCTATACAACACTGGTGTGCCTGCAACGGGAGTATTGTGCTCAGTTTTGGACCCCTCATTACAGTAAGGATATAGCCAGGTTAGAGTCAATGCAGCGTAGGGCCACAAGGTTGGTGGCCGGTTTTCAGGGGATGGGGTATGAGGCGAGACTGAGGGAACTGGGTCTCTTCAGCCTGGAGGAGACTCAGAAGGGATATGTTGGCGACATACAGGTATGTAAGGGGATGTCACACGGAGATGGGTAGAGACCTGTTCTCCCCTGCAGAGGAAGGCAGGACGCGCTCCAACAGAGCAAAGCTTAGGGAACCAAGCTTCCATTTAGATGCTAGGAAGCACTTCCTGACAGTTAGGACCCCGAGGGTATGGAATAGGCTTCCATGGGATGTCGTTGAGGCCCCATCAGTGAGGGTGTTCAAAGATAGGCTGGGCATGCACATGGTGGGCATGTTATGAGCTGAGCTGGCTGGAGCCGGGGTCAGACTAGATGGTCCAGGAGTCCCCTTCTGACTCGCTCTGTTTCTATGTTTCTATGTAACATAGTTGAGCAGTTGCATAGGTGTTGGGCAGTTGCTGGACCTTGGTGGAAATGTCCAACTTGGTGGAGAGTTCAAGGAACAGGGTGGCATGTTCCAAATCTCCCCTTCAGAGAAGGAAGGTATGTGGCTGATTCCACTTGCATGTTTGGACTGGATGAAACAGCTGGTGTCAGGACCACTGGTCAAGTTGGCAGTTCAGTAGGTCATGGAGCCAGCATGAAGGCGTTAGCTACAGCCACTGGCAGAATGGGTGACTGAATATATGCTGTTGAATGGTGGGTGAATGTTGTTAGGCACATTTTGAGGACTTTTGCTTGCCTTTTTTCATCATTAACTTTGGTTGCTCTGCCTCTTGTGGGGCTTTTTGTCCACTTCTCCTCAGTGTAAGGGTGCTCAGTCATTGTTGATGGAGTTGGAGTGGCCAACAGCACTTTATACAAGGAGGTTGATGTCTGAGAAGTTGACAAGCACTCATGAGGCTTGGAGATGACCAATTCAACAGCCATGAATGTACAGCTCCACAGTTTGGTCTTTAGGTGCCCTGCCCAATTTTTAAGGGCCTGCAAGGTTGACAGTGGGGGCACAGTTTGACTTGGTGGTCCTCACTGAGGCAGAACAGTGGATGCTTGTCTGTGGAAGGCATTTTTACACCACAGTGGACACATTTCCAAAATGCCAACAGGAGAGCCATAAAAAGAGAGGAGGAAGAGGAAGAGATGTAAAGTGAAGAAAGGGTGATGAAACGATGGGGTGTTTTTGTTTTGGAAAACAAAAGTATTTATGAGAAAAATGGGAAGAAAAATAGGGGTATAGTTAGGAGAAAAATCATTTGTGAGAGGAAAATAGGTTTAGAAGGTTCTAGAAAGCTGAAGTAAGAGTGAGAGCCAGGATCCCAAGGCACTCAAACAGCAGTTAGAAAAGAACTGAGGAAAATGGCCGGAGACCCTCCTATTTATACTAGAGGGATGGAAGTGGGGCTTCTGCCAAAACTTTAGCTGACAGGGACCATGCAAGCACAAAGCTCATATGTGTGATACACAGAGACCATGAAGAAGAATATTCTGTCTCCTTGTAACGAAGTAATGTAATGTTGCCCTCAATCCCTATCTGGTTCCTTGTAGGAAGCACAATGCATTTCTTATTATTACAGTTACAGCAGTGAGAATGTGAAAAGCAGACAGATCTTCAGAGCAGACAGAACTTCTCATCTATGATTTCAGAGTGCTTTGTCATAGGAAGAAGAAAGATTCAGGCACATGTGTGCAGGTGGGAGAAATGTGGGAACAGAAGCAGAAAAGATGAGAAGAGAAGGACAAGTAGTGGTGATGTGCAATTGCTACCATCAATGAAAGACAAAGCCAGACAACCACTTGTTGTGGCTGCTGCTTGGAACCTCCTGAAGCTGGTAGCAGGGACAAGTCCCTGACTCACTCTATCCTACAGAAAGCCCTGAACCAGTGAAACAACTAGAAAATTGGTGATAAGAATGGATGACTAAACCACAGATCAAAGGCAAGTGTGGCGGCCACACTTGCCTTTGGTCTGGTCTGTAGCAGGCCAAATTAGGCCCATGATCCAGAGGTTTCCAATCCCTGGTATATAGGAGCTCAGTCTTAATTTTCAGTGTTTTATTTTTACTTATTAATCAAACTTGATAAATGTGCATATTATTAAACAAATCAATATTATGAGTCATTTTTAATACTAAAGCAAAAAATAAGTCATAATCATTATAACAATGGAAGAGAACTTTATAATTTTGGGTTCCTTGCAAGAAGGAGAAAGGCAAGATATAAATGCGATAGATATAGATCTACAACTCATCATTAGGAGGTTATATGCCTCATTTCCCATGCTAAGGACATATCATAATCAAATCAATTTCTCTAAAAGAAAGAAGAGAATGACTGAACCATATCCACAGAAAAAATTGTCTCAGTGATGGAAAAATACCAATCAACTAACACTTGAGATAAATAAACTGCAATTAAGTTCATTAAAAGTGCCATCAATGAAATACACAAAATGACTATTGGAAAGAAAAGGACACAAAAAGAATGTACACCCAGATGCCTTACCTCATCTTGACTCATTGTTTTGCTCTTTTCAGTCTTTAATTTCTTCTGTAGTAATTTGGTTTCATATTCTGGCCTGGGATGTTCCTAAAGCAATTAAAAATTTGGAGAAAATGTGATTCCTGAGCATTCCATACATAATCAAAACATATAAAACTATAGGAAGACACTAATCAGATCACAGTTCATACACACACAGTTTTGACAGGATGCATTTGTGAAACACTAATACGGTTGTCTATACGTAAAAAACAATTCAAACATTTACACTCTCCATGGTATGTTTTGGCAATGGAAAAGGAGGGAGAATAAATTTAAAACAAATACTTTAAAGTACATATTAAATAAATAGCTACACTCTTATCAATAGTTACCAGGAAAATCTAAAATATTGCCAACATCACTTTGACAGCTATGTGTGGTAATACTTGAAAACTTAAATTCTGGGCTTCAACGCAAACAAAACCTAGAATGTCTAAAAAAGTAAGGTTGTTTACCTGTAACTGTAGTTCATATGAGCTATCTGCCTGCATGAAGCTGAGGAATTTTTGGTGGGAACACTTTCTCAGTAACTAGTGTACATGACCTGGGGAGTTCCCACCCATTCCCTTAATTCGACTGAGATCACCTATTGTGGCCTCAGAATTGAGGAATGGTAAGGAATGTATAAGGATAAACATCCATATCAATTCAACAGAAAGGGAAGAATTCAATACTGATGTGGAGACCAAGTACCATATTTTTCAATGTATAAGACAATACTTTTTCTTAAAAATATTTACCTAAAAATGGAGGGGCATCTTATACATGGGGGGCTGAGAGGAGAACTGTGGTTGCGAAACTGACAATACCTTATCTCTGCAAATTAGCCTCTTGAGCGAAACTTCTGATTGCAGAGACAAGCTAACAGGTTTCCTTCAGTCATGAGCCTTGTGTAACTGATGTCAGCTGCTGCTGCAGAGAGCACATAACCCGGAGTCCTCAAACTTTTTCAACAGGGGGTCACTTGAAAGGTGGCGGCAGCAGGCGCACTTGGGGGTGGGGAGACAGGCGCAATCGTGGGTGCACTCAGGGGGGAGACTGGTGTGATCGCAGGCATGCGCGTGGGGAGACAGGGAGGAGGCAGGTGCACAAGTGTGGCAAGGCAGCAGCTTGCTCGCTCGGAGATCAGTAAGAAAAGTGGAGGGCATCCTATACATGGGGGCATCTTGTACACAGAAAAATACGGTACTTGACACCAAAGTGGGGTCACAGGGTACATTGTGTGAATGTACAGCTAATCACTCAAATTATAATTCTGGGTAGCAACCTGCCTTTTTTCTTTGTGAACATGCCTTTCCTCTTCATGGTCTAAGTGCATCACACATATGAGCAAACAGCAAGCTATAGCAGTACCAAAAGGAGGGTTGGTGTTAAGTAGTATAAGAGGAAGGACAACACAGCTGACGAAAGTAGCAATCCTCCCAGGCTTGAACATCAATATGGTAATGCCTGATAAATGTTGCTGGTTCCTACCAAGTGGCTGCATGGCAAATATCAGCTAGTATGATCACCCTACTGAATGCTGTCAAAGCCATCAATCCCTGTATGGAATGTGCCATTAACCTTAGAGGGGGCTATGCCAGCTAGCTCATAAGTCAAACTCTGGATAATCTATGTTGACACTCTTTGGGAAGAAACTGGGGGACCCCTCTACTTCCATAACAAGCAAATAATCAAGGAGATTGGTGGAATGTTTCTGTCCTAGACCAATAGAAAGCTCTGCAGACATCTTCCTCTGTAAGACCCTCTTCACTAATATCTCTGGAGATGGAAAAGAGGTGTTAATAGGTGGTCTTGTTGAGGTGCAAACTAGTGACAACCTTCAGCAGAAAGGATATGCCCAGGTGTAAGACTGTCTCGTTATAAAAATTGCATACAGGGGATCCAAACTGTGCAGAGTTCAGATGTAAGTGTAATTGCCAGTGTAATTGCTACTAAGAAAGTGATCTTCCAGTTGAAAAGGTGGATATAGAGATAGATTCAAATGGCTTAGCTGATAAAACCTTAAGTATAATAAATAAATTCCCATGAGGAATCAGAGTCTGGATTGGTGGAGCGACATTAGTGGCCCTTAAGGAACAGATGAAGAAGGGGATGCTTAAAATGGAGAAAATCACTGCCAGTTAATCAGAAGACATGGAGCTTAATCCATTCAACCCTTTCTGAAATAGGGAAAAAAGGAAGTACAGAACATACTGAAGCAGATAAGTCAACTGGGGTTGAAGAAGACCTTAAAAGATGCCCCCCTTTAAGGTACAATTTCATTGGTGCTGGTTTTATAGCAATGACTCAAAGGATCCGAAGTGTTTATTGCAATGGTAGATGTTAAGTCATGGTTAGATTCTCCATGCTGTTATCCTGAGAATCATTACATCTGGGTGATGGATTTGACCATGACTCCAAGACAGCAGGTTCAGATTAGATGGGAGAGACCAGTACTAGCTGATAACAAACAACAAGGAAAAGGCAGAGGCACTCAACTCTTATTTTGGCTCAGTCTTTTTCCAAAAGAAGACATACAACCTACCAACTGAAGGGGAAGTACAAGGTGAAAACACAGGATGACAGCCCAAGATTGCAAGACAAATGATTGAGGAGCATCTAAATAGGGTAAATGCGTTTAAATTTCCAGGGCCCAACAAACTCCATCCCCGAGTCATAAAAGAGCTAGCAGATCTCTCAGAACCATAGTCCGTTATCATGAAAAACAGGGCAAGTGCCAAACAACCAGAGAAGGGCGGATAATTGTATGTATTTTCAAGAAAGGGAAAAAAGATGAACTTGGGAACTACAGACCAGTCTGACATCAATTTCTGGAAAAATTCTGTAGCAAATTATAAAATTAATCAGTCTGCGGGTATCTAGAAGAAAACACAGTAATTAATCGATGCTCACGTGGATTTTTAAGAATAAATCCTTCTAGACTAATCTAATCTCATTTTCTGATTGGGTAAGCTCCCAAAGAATGGAAATACTGCAGCCATAGGTCTACTGGTATCCTTTCTACTCCAGGTGCTTCATTCTGTGCAAGTGCTTTTAGGGCAGCTTTCTCTTCACTTTCTAATATTTCAGGTTATTCCTCATAGGACTCCTCTTTGAAGAAGTCTGTCATCCTTTCATCATGTTCTGTATAGTTATACTATATATTCTTTCTACCTTCCCTTTATTGTCTTCTGGTCAGAAAGTGTGTCCCTACTAAAATAAAGTACCTACTTGTCATTGTAATAGTTATTTTTGTTTCTATGTGATAGTCACTGAAAAGTTGCATTCAGGATTCTGACATTATTTCTGTCAACTTTTGCTTGCTTCTCACCCAACCTTAGTAACTGTGTTTCTTCTGTCATCCATCAGTGCTTTTTCTTTCTTGTTTCTACAGGAATTGTCTTTTGGCATTCTTCCTTAACACTATCTGTTTTCAGTCTGCAGTTCCTCTGGATCACAGCCAATTAAGTTACATAATGGAAAGCTTTTATTTATGTACACTTTAGATTCCTCAGCGATGTTATTGAAGTTGTATTTTGTCACTATATTTCTGTTGGTAATTTTTTCCAGCTTTATTCTGATTTTTGATATTAAGAGGTCATGGTCACTATTGCAATCTGCTCCTGACCTTGTTCTGACAGTGAGAATACAGATTCTCCATCTCCTGCTTTGAATTACATAGGCCATCTGGTGAAGCCCCTGTATAAAGTTGCCTGATTGGTTGCTTGAAGTATATATTTGTGATCAACAGTTCATTGGCTTCAGAGAATTCTGTGCTTCACTTCTAATCTCTAGTCAAATTGCCCTACAACGTTTGATTCTGCTTTGTTTCTTACTTTTTTGTTCCAGTCACCTATGACCAGCAGCATGTCTTATTTTGGTGTGTTAACAATTTCCTCTAGAAGACCAACATGAAAGTTTTCCATTTCTTCCTCTTCAGTTTCTGATGTCGGAGCATAGACTTCTCACATTCCATGTGCCAACTGTATGAGCTGTGTCACACCAAACTTTACTTTCATCTCTGCATATCAGCCACTAGACTTCCTTTCACCCTTGATTTAGTCTAGAAAGCTGGCTTCTTTTCAGCTTTGACAGCACTATTTGTATTTGTCCTTTGCTTTCCCCCAGTAGTTTGTGAGTGCCTTCCAACTTAGGGGTCTCATCTTCTGGCACAATCATTTGTCTCATTATGGATTGTTTCATCATGAGGTCATCAAGGTAAGAAGATTCAGAAGTTGTTTACCATTGCCTTCTTCTGTACAGTACTAACCAGAGTTATCTTTAGCTTCATTGCCACTGTCTGTGAAAGATCCTCTGCCAGCATCATCTTCAGCTACTGCTGCTGCCCAGTAGCTGTCCTTCAGGAGTTTCTCCACCCCCATCATTATTAGAGTCATCTATTATCTTTTGTCGAAGTGATCTTTCCTTCTGAAGAGGGTGGATGCTACTCTCAAAGCAGCAATTTCTTTTGGATATTCCTTGCATCAAACCATTAAATGTGCACAGGAGTGCCTCTTCAGTTCGAATGATTTTTTTTTTTTTTTTTTGCTGGGGGCAGCAGGGTTAAAGCTCCACACTGTAATTATTAGTATGCTACTGCTTATAAAATGACAGCTGCTTTGATAGTAATTTGAAAGAGTGGCATTTGTGATCTACATGCTGCAGTATTTAACTGTGCAAAATTTAAGAGAATCTGACACAACTAGCTACAAGAAGAGTAAATTAAAAAGTATTGAAAATGCATTTCTTTTATTCCAAGCTGCAGTTGGGCGTATCATATATTCCTTTCAAATTTTGATACAAATAACTGCCTTATGTTAGTCAGGCTTGTTACCAAGGTGTGTCTTTCATAAATTTGGTGGAGTTCAGAGAAGAGTTCAAAGGTAATTTATCCATTTCATTCCCTAAGAAAGCCTAAATGTCAAGCAAGTTTAGTTTTGCTCTGAAGCTAGGATGTTGTCAGTACTCCAAAGTATTCAGAGTGTTTTTGTTTGCAATGCATATCATGTGAGCCTGCATGTTAGTATTTGCGTGACTACATGTACAAAAGGAATCTACAAGTT